TCATTTATTCATTTATTCATTTATTTATTTATTCATTCATTCATTCATTCATTCATTCATTCATTCTATTTATATATATCCCACCTGTCTGGTCATTGCGACCACTCTAGGCGGCTTACAACACAAAAGGGATGAAAGCACTGCAGGATCACTTTAATCCCTGCTTTCCCCTCCACCTGCTTTTATTCTCTCCTCAGTTTACTTTCATGTATAAGACGACCCTCAATTTTTAACCTAAAGATTTCGGACAAAAGTATAGTCTTATACACGGAAAAATACAGTATGCTTCCATTCACTGCCATAAGGTGTGTGTTTATAAAACACACATACATCTATCTCTATCTCTCATTCACACACACACACGCACACACACACACACACACACACACAGAGAGAGAGAGAGAGAGAGAGAGAGAATACAAAACCTATAAAACTAATCCATTTGTGTGCTTGAACTCAGTTATCTTAAATCTTTCCAGGTACAGTGCAATCATATCTTTTAAAAAAATCTTTCTGCTTTTCTTCCTAAGGTGAAGATGCACAACTTTTTGGCCCTTAGGCCATGCCTGGCATTGGGCAGGGGTTGCATATCTATATGCATATGCACATACAGTGGTGCCTCGCTTTACGATTGCCCCGTTTAATGATGAAACCGCATTACGATGAACTTTTTGCGATCGCAAAACAATGTTTCCTATGGGGGAATTTCGCTTTGCGATGATCGGTTCCCTGCTTCAGGAACCGATTCTTCGCAAAACGACTATTTTCCAACAGCTGATCGGCGGTTTCAAAATGGCCGCCGGGTAAACAAAATGGTTCCCCGCTGTTTTCTGTGATGGATTCCTCGCTGCACAGGCAGCGAAAATGGCTGCCCTATGGAGGATCTTTGCTGGACGGTGAGTTTACAGCCCTTTGGAACGCATTAAACAGGTTTTAATGTGTTTCAATGGTGTCTTTCTTTTCGCATTATGACGTTTTCGTTCTACAGCGATTTCGCTGGAACGAGTTAATGTCGTAATGCAAGACACCACTGTATAGTAAATACATACATATGCACATTCCCCCCTACTCACACACAACCACTCTTCTTGCTGCTTCCAACATGTATCTCAAAGTTTAAAATTTCACCATGCCCATTGAGACCCAAGAAAAACTCAGGAGAATTTATGTGAAGTGAATGTCTCATTTTCCAATGATCTCCACTATTCATAGCAGAAAATGAATTATAAAATAATAGAATTATTGAGTTGGAAGGAATGCCAAGGGTAATCTAATCTAATCTGCTCCTGATTACAGTGGGGTCTCTACTTAAGAACTTAATCCGTATTGGAAGGTGGTTCTCAAGTTGAAAAGTTCTTATGTTGAATCTGCATTTCCCATAGGAATGCATTGAAAACCATTTAATCCGTATCTGCTCTTTTCTGTCCATAGAAACTACAGTGGAACCTCTACTTAAGAACTTAATCCATTTTGGAATGGTGTTCTTAAGTTGAAACGTTCTTAAGTTGAAGCAAAATTTCCCATAGGAATGGACTGAAAACCAATTAATCCGTTCTGGCTGTTTTTTTGTTATGTAGAGGTGCGTTCGTACATTGAAGCATTAGTTCCCATAGGAACTACAGTGGGGTCTCGACTTACGAACTTAATCCGTATTGGAAGGCAGTTCTCAGGTCGAAAAGTTCTTAAATCGAATCTGCATTTCCCATAGGAATGCATTGAAAACCATTTAATCCGTATCTGCTCTTTTCGTCCATAGAAACTAATGGGAAGCTGCTATTCCGCCTTCTGCCACTAGAGGGGGATATTTTTTCTTTTTTCCTTTTAACCTAAGATGACTTAGCTTTAAAAAAAGGGAAAAAAAGAGTTCGTAACTCGAATCTAAGTTCGTAAGTCGAGTCCATATATTCCTATGAGAGCGGTTCGTAAGTCGAAACGTTCGTATGTCGAGCCGTTCGTAAGTCGAGACCCGACTGTAACAGCTAATGCATCCCTGACAGGTGGCCGTTCAACTTCTGTTTTGAAAACCTACAACAATATCAGGGTGGTTTACATCTGCCATTATCTGTCATTGAAGATTTGGTAGTCTGATCAAGGAGGGCATCATCCAAATCTTCACTCTTGTGTGGAGGTCCATTACAAATTCCCACCAATCGTAGCACTGTTATTTCCCTCTCCTTTGATTCTCATCAAATACTCTCAACCAGACTTCCATGTTCCAAGTCATGGATAGCTTCACAGGTGCACACATCCTTTGTATATACAGTAATGGTATTCCTCCTTTTCCATTTAGTCTATTCCTTTTGAATAAATTATACCCTGGCCTTCAAGCTATAATTTATTCAACATCAGAAACAGGCATGCTGAGGATTGAGAGAGGTTTAGACTTCTCCCCTCCCTCAACAATCTTGTGAGATTGCTAGTATCAGTGCTGGAATAGTGTTTTCCTCATTTTAGTCCAGCTGCCCAGTGGGATCCTGGCCCTCATGATACTGGCGCATAGGGTTTATTTCTGCCTTCAAACATGTTGGGACAAAGACACTTGTGTCAGCACTTCCAAAGCATAAAGCTACCTAGTTACTGTACTTCTGCTTTTCAGACTGCAGTAGTCTGTTGCTTTCAGATGGGAATGTGATGAGTGACAAAACAGCATTTACAATGCTTTAGAATTCATAGGGATATGTGCATATTACATAATCACAGTAAACCTCACAACAGTCGTGTCAAATAGATAATCAATCAGTACAATTATACTGGAAAAGGCTGAAAAATAACTGCATGCCTAAATGTGCCATAACAGACAAGATGTGAGAAATCTGTATACAGTAAACCACAAGGAAATTGTATAGAATTTCATATTGGAAGTATAATAATCATTGCAGATCAGAACACTGGAATAAGAACAATAAGACACAGCATTGATTGCTTACGTAGAAAAATGATTTTATCTTGTATACTGTATTGCAGTCATTCCCTGGTGCAGCGTATGAAGAATCAAATGGAGAAATGCTGACAAAAACAGAGCAGATAGTACTGTGCCAGGAGTTAAGGAGCTAACATTTGCTAAAGAAAGAAGGAAGGAACAATAATACAGAATACAACACTTCCACAGTAGAATCAGAATAGTACAGACAGAAGATTGGAGAAAAGATACGGGTTAGGCATTTGCGCTGCTTCATTGAAAGGTCACAGAGTACACATTTTATCAAAGCTAAAAGTTTCCTCATTTCACTGTGGAGTCTATTGTTTGTCTGACTGTCCAAATCACACAAAATGCAAAAGGGACACTCGGATGATTAGAGAGAATGCAGCACTGAAGGAAGAGGGGAAAACAAAACAAAAAATATTTGGAAAATATCCCAGACCACAGGCAGCCTATTTCAGTCGGTGCCAGAAAAACAAAGGAATGGCAGATCAGCGATTGTAAACCCTGAAGCACACAGCACAGGAGAATGAAAAGAAGAATGCTTGGTAACGAATGTAGTCTAAGCCCTGCTTAACCAGGAAGCGGATTCTGATATTAAATTACCAGGATGTGAATGCTGAGGCAAGGCAGAAAATAGTATATGTGTACAACAGCAATGCATTTTGTAACTTTCATTTTCTGAGGAGGTGCACTTCATTGACTCAAAAGAAAAGGAATTATATATTTCTACATGTCACAGAGGGCCATAGTGTTGCCTTCCTCACCATTCCGAATCTATGTTTAAAATACCATTCTACGACTGGAAAAGTGCAGCTGTGTGAAAGGACAGGTAATGACATGCAGTATTAACGTCTCCAGTAAAAGACAGGTTATTGCATTAGGAGACAGTATGATAGGGAGAAGCATCTATAAAACAGAGTTTAAAGCTAGGTGTAGCTAATGACAGTGTTTTCAGCCATGAGAGAGAATTCATCCTAATAATTTTGTACTGTGAATATAAAGTCTCCATGGCTTTGAACTGCTCATTTCCATTAAAACATTTATTTGTACTTTTTCTCTTCTGCATTAATAATGACTACATATTCCACGTGTTAACATAAACAGTGTAAGAGAGATAAAACTTGATTTAAGTTTACATCCTGAAAGGGAAGCTGGTAACCACACTGAGTTTTACATAGTAATGGAAGAACAGAGAAGGTCACTCTAACTCCATTGTTGCACAAAATTGCTAGATTTACAAGAACTGAAGGAATACTGGCAGATCCAGATGCTAAGACAAATTAAGCTTTAAACTCTTAAATTTGACACTGATTAGGATTAAACACAAATCTCCATTCATGACTGAACACTTAGAAAACTGAGTTTTCCATGGGGCTAAAATTGTCAAGACTACTAGCTGGGGGGCAGCAAGGTAGGAAAATTCATGATAAAAAATCATGAATGGACAATGATTTGCACAATGGACCTTTGCTCAATGTCAGCATTCCCTCTAAATTGCCTGGGTCCACAGCTGTGTAGTGCTGCATCAGTGCCATGCACGCGCAGCCAATGTTGTAGTCCATTTGGTTCTGGGCACAGCCAGAATCTCGTACACATGGGATGGCCCCCTCCCAGCACTGGTGGAAAATTAGGAGGAATGTTGATCATTTAGCAACATTAACCTTCCTTTGATACCTTTAGTTCTGTAAACTGGCATAATCTGGCTGCCAGTAAAAAAAATAAATACAGTTCATAGAAATAATTTAAAAACACAATTAGAATCACAATTGAGTACTTAACTACAGTTAAACACGCCAGTATTTAAAACCACCCATTAAAAACAGTTCAATATTAACACAACAAAAACAATAAAGTATACTGCACCCCCACACAAGCAAGGTGACACTCAAGGTATTGCAACAAAGACTTTTACCATATATGGAGCAAGAAACGCCTGATGTCCAAGCTGGATTCCAAAAGCAAAGAGGGACCAGAGATGGTAGTATAAATACATGCATGCTGGGTATTGAAGTGCACCAAAGAATTTCAGAAGATGATCAGTCTTTGCTTTATAGACTGCAGCAAAGAGTTTGACTGTGTGGATCATGAGAAAACATGGATTGTTCTAAAAGAAATGGGTGTGCCTAACTATTTGTCCTGAAGTATAACCTACTTCAGGAGCTACTATTAGGTCAGAATAAAGAGAAACATAATGGTTTCCCATATGCAAAGGTGTCAGAAAAGGATGTGTCTTATCTCCCTATCTGTCCAATCTGTACGAAAAACATATATGGAAAACTGGATTAAATTCAGATTAATAAAATATGAGAACTGGTGGAAGAAACATAAATAATTTAAGACATGCAGATGATATTGTATTACTGGCAGAAAGCAATGACTTGAAATCACTATTGATGAAGATGAAAGAAGAAAGTGAAAAAGCAGAACTGTAGTGGAACATTAAGAAAACAAAATTCATAAGCTAAGAAAAACTACACAACTTTTATGCTGACAATGAAGAATTTATAATGCTTAAAGATACTGTACGCCTTGGTTCAATCACCAATCCAAATGCGACTGCAGCCAAAAAAATCAAAAGAAGATTGAGACTTGGAAGGGTAGTAGTGAAGGAACTAGAAGAGATAATCAAATGTAAGACCAAGGCCAAAATAATTCATGTGGGGAAATTGTATGCTTTTACAATGTATATATCTGTGGCAATAGCAGACATTGTGCTAAGCGTGCAAATCACGTATACAGTGTGATAGCTTTCCTAAAGGATGATTCATTAACCTGCTTTGGTATCTAGGATAATTATCTGTCTTTGGGTAAATTGTATTAACTTACTTGTGTATTAAGGTGTTATCTGTCTATGTTTACCCTGCTCTGTATTCAGGAATGTTTATCCTGCTTGTGTATTTAGGATTTACGTGCCTCTGTTTACCGGCCCCTCTGTTTACCATACTTGTGTATTCAGGATATTACCTGCCTGTGTTTAGAATGGTCACTGGTTAACTAGTGCAAAGGTAGTAGAGAACAATAAAAGGGGGCGCGGCAATGGATAGGGAGAATTTCCCACTGAACAGCATGCTACACAGCACGCCCTGAAACACACACTCGAGTGCTTGCCTCTTTCTTTCTCCTTGCTGGTCAAGAGGGGAAAAAGGCTTCATCTGCAGATCCCTACAACTAGACTTCATCTGCAGATCCCTACAACAAGGCTTCATCTGCAGATCCCGACAATTCACACTATTGAATTCTAGATCCTTCTCCATGAATGTGAAGCCTGGACAGTGAAGAAAGCCAACAAGAAAAAAGAATTGAACATGGTGCTGATGGAGAGTTTTGTAGATACCCTGCATGCCTAAATGTGCCATAAGAGAAAGATGACCAACTGGGTCCTTGATCAAATGAAGCCTGAACTTTCTCTAGAAGCAAAAATGATGAAACTAAGGCTGTCATACTTTGGACACATCATTACAAGACTTGCTAGAAAAAGTAGTCATGCTCAGAAAAGTTGAAGGCAAGAAGCCACAGCCTAGAGTTTACAAGAACTGAGCCGGGATGTTTGTGCCAGGATGTTTTGAAAGTCACCCTAAGTCGAGGTGACCTGACAGCACATAAGAACAAGAAGACTACATCCACCACAAAAACGAATTTCTTACAAGGGTGTTCAGTTTCCAAAGCTGTGCTTACAAAGGGAGGTTTTTGCCTTCCAGCAGAAAGACAACAGGGAGAGGGTCTTCCATGGCTTGAGCAGCCACCAAAAAGGAACTCTCTCCTGTCTTAACAAAACATACTGTACTTCCAAGGGTGGCAGAGGCAGAACTGAAAGAAGATTGCAGAACCTGGGAGGAGGGGGGCGTTGGAATTATATAGGAAGATGCAGTATTTCAGTCCGTCTAGACTCAGGCTGTACAAGGCTCTGGAGGTCCTAACCAGCACTTTAAAGTTGGTCTAGAAATGGCCCAGTAGCCAATGGTACTGTATTTATTTTGAACTAGCTGAAGCTTCTGAACCATCTTTGAAAACAGCCATATGTAGAGTGCGTTAAAATAATCCAAGTAGGATCCAAGCTAGCACACAAGTTTTAACTGTGCAAATGCACTCCTGGCCACAGTTGAAGTCTGAGGATATAGGCTCAGGAATGAATTCAGGAGTACGGTACATAGCCTGAAAATTTGGGTTTTCAAGGGGAGTATAACTCCATTCAACACCAACTGGCCAAAAGCACCATGTGCTGCCTGAATTAAGCTTCAATTTCTCCATCCTCATCGGTCCATTACTGATGCAAAGACCCAGTTGAGAACTGAGACATTTTCCTTGAACTTGATGGAAAGTAGAGATAGAGTTGGGTGTTGCTACTACCGAACCCACAACCTCTCCCAGCAGTTTCATTTATATGTTAAATAACATGGGGGACAGAATGGAATCCTAAGGGACTTTGCAGATAAAAGGCCAAGAAGGCATAGCAAAGGAGTCCCCCCAGCAGTGCATTCTGCGTTGGCTCATATGGGTAGAACATGAACCATGGCAAAACAGTACCCCCAAGTTCAGTTCCTGAGAGATGACTCAGAAGGTTAGTGTAGTCAATATTCCCTTGCCCAGTTCCTGCTGTAGTATCTGCCAGGGCGAACAGAGTCATCTCAGTACCATAACCCACCCTAAAATAGATTAAAATGAATCTAGATAATGAATTTAATCTAGAAACTGCTGAAGATGAGAAACCATCCTGCCGAAAAACAAATGTTGAATATGGCCAGTAGCCATCCACTCTCAAATGATTTGGAAACAGCTTTTTCAATAAAGATTTTACAACTGGCTCTTCTAGACATGATAAGATTGTGTTGTTGTAAATTGTAAATGCCATTAAAGGTTTCAGAACAGAACAGAACAGGCATGATAGGATTCTGCTTTAATCTGAAGAGGCTTCCCTTACTTCCCTTACCCACTCACCCTTCCTGAGTCAGGAACAGCATGCCCTTAGTTGTTCTTAACTTTCCTAAGAGTCTATCCGTATTCTAGGGCTGCATGGTTTGAAATGAATTAATTAATACAAAGCAGAAAAGGGCCAAAATTATATCTGCCAGATTACATTATAAGGACATCATCATCATCCTTTCTTCTGCTACTAGTTCATCATCATCATAGGACACTATTATTATAATAAAATTGTTTCCAAATCAGATCCTTATCAGCTCAGCTTTGGTTTTTAAATAAAGAGCATTGCCAGTATCAAGTAGTGATATTAGGTAATGAAAAGAGGCTAGGCATGCAAGATTTCTCAGTACATGTTCACAGATGAATTGCAGCTATTTGCTGAGTCTTTGGCAAGACTTAAATTGTCTTTAAACTCATCTCATATTATTGTTGTCACTGTCCTGATAATTGCTTACTTGATAGAGAGCAGGGCTTGGAAAAACTGCTTTTTTGAACAACAGGTCCCAAAATTCCACATCAGCCATGCTGGCTAAGGATTCTGGGAGTTACAGTCCAAAAACAGCTTTCTCAAATGCTGGAATAGAGGCATTTGTGATGCAAATAAACGTTCTGTCCAATGTAGTTTTGCATTGCAAATCAGCTGAATCAATCATGTGAGTATCATGTGAAATGCAAGAGAAAAGAACAAAGAGTCCTGCAGCATCTTATAAAAATTCAGAAGCAAAGTAAAGCAGTGCTGCTTATACCATCCCATAGTGCTTAAATCACTCTCTGGGTGGTTTAAAATTTAATTATGCAAGCAACGTAAGAAAAGCAATGCTAAATGAAAAGCCCAGCATTCTATTCCCACGGTGGCCAAACAAATACATATGGAAACGGCACGAGTACATAAAAACAACAACAAGACTGCAGCTTCTACCGAAACTACTTTCTTGCAAGGGCATTCCCTTTCCAAAGGCATACTTAAACAGGAAGGGGGTTGCCTTCCAGAAGAAGGACAATGGGGAGTGGGAGACTCTAGCCTAAAAGCAGTCACGAAATACACTTACTAAGGTGGCAGATACATATGGGAAGACCACAAGCAGGGCAGGAGGAAACCCTGATGGGGAGGACTATTTCACAAAAGCTCATGCTATACTGAATTTGTCATCTTTAAGATGTCACAAAACAATTTATTATTTCTGTTGTGACACAGCAAGTTCTCTGGAAAACCTTCTGGAAGAGGGAAGAGCTGAACCTACGCTTCTCAAAAACCACCCATATGCCACCTATATATGTACCTTCAAAACATAATACAAAGAACTTTTTTTTCCCCAGGAAGCAGGTACCCAGGCCAAAAGGGAAAAGGAGGTAGTTCACCCACCTGCCAAAGGAGAAGGAGAAGCATCAGGCCACAAGAAGGATGTTGATCATTTTACGTCTTGGCAGCATAAGCAGGTAACTTTAAGAAGGGCAGAGTTGAGTTTCAGGTCTAGCTTGTGCTAGATCAGTCTTCTTTAACTTAGTGCCATTCAGATGTCTTTGCCTGAGGAAAGTTATTGAGGGCTCTGCTTATTGAAGGGTTGCTGTGCCATGCAGCTTATAAGATAATGATACCACCTCTACATCTGTATTTGTGGAACTACACTCACTTTAATGTTATTTCTGTTATTTAGTTTTTTGTTACATTTAGACCCCATCCATATAGTGTCTAAGCACTACTCTGGGTGGCCAACAGCAGTTAAAAACACAACTGTCCATCCCTGCCCACAAAACTATAAAGAGAGGCAGAATACATGAATATCCCAGGATATCTAAAAAGAAAGAAACCTAGGCGGCAAATCAAAATTAATAATCTATTCATGGGTCTATGAGGGTATCAGAGGAGTAAGATATTTTCTAAACGCCTCTTCAAACAGTATGATTTTTACCCGTATTGTGAATCTCTAAATTGATGTCTTCTGAATCTTTTAGGCACAATACTCTCTAGCTCAGAGATATGTCAGAATAAAACAGAAGTCTGTCCCCCATCCTTCAAGTCCTCTCCAGCTAAGGATGTGTATTTTAAAATTATTCTAAGAATTCTGGCTGCTCTGGATGGCAGATGTCATATAAAGGAGAAGAACCTATGTTTTCCATAGAGATGGCGGAGATATGCTAAACAGTCCAAAGAAGGGGTATTCCTACACAAGTCTAATGATGATTTGGCTTAAAGAATGTGTAGAAAAGGATGAACAACGAATTCCATCTAACAGTGGCAACTGTTTTGAGTCTTACGTCTGACATCAAGCAAAAAAATGAAGAAAACAAACATGTACTCCCAACCCCTTGCTTTAAAGTGAAACTGAGTTTAACTCAACTCTTAACATCTCTAGAAGGGAACAATTGACATACATATCTCAACAGAGTTACACTGACCTTTTGTGCTGGCTGAAGTGCAGGAAACAGACCCTCAGGGGTAGTTTCAAATGTTATGTTTTGTAAAAGGAAATTGGAAAATACTTCCAGAGTTACAAACAAGACATTAGAAGATCTAGAGGGCAACAGTTTTTTCATGGAGAACAGAGGCTATTACACAGCCTGCCTGCCTTGTGGACAGGTTCAAAAAACATCTGACTGATAAAAGCTGTACTATGGAGTAGACTGTACATTTCGCATAATAATATATTTTGCCACATGCACAAATGCTTCTCTTGGACCCAACTCTAATAGTATGTGTTTAAAAGAAGTAACTTTTGAAAGAGAAAAACATTTCATTAATTTATGAAGCTAGAGAAAGGAGAGTTGGATGAGATCTTTGAAAATTCTTTCTGTACACTAGGAGTCTACAACTTCCACTTGCCCTAACAATTATCAATAGTAGTGATGTAAATGTGAAGCACAGTTCAACGGCACCTGATGGGTTGTTCCTCATCCCTGCTCTATGCAAAAGTAAATCAAGGTGCACATCTGTGAATCAAATCACTGAAAGGTATAGGAAAGGTTGGATATCAGATCAGTCAATATCATAGATTCTCTAGTAGTAGGCATCCTTCAGTCTCGAGAGACTATGGTAATGTGCACTGAATAGAGGTCTTGGAACAGCGTTTAGTGTGGCTGAGAAGGCCAATTTGAGAGTGACAATCCCTTCCACACTGAAGACAAATACAATCTGTCCCCTTTCCAGCTTCTCTAGTTTGTTGAAATCTCAAGATGGGAGAATTTCAGGGTGATCTTGCCATGGAACAGTGCTACAGGGATTTCAATAGCTGTACTTGCCAACATCCCCTCATCTACATAACAGTTAAAAGCAGAGAAATGCTAACACTGGTAGACTTCATTTCTCATACAAGTCTAGAATTACAAATTTCATAGTGAAGCTCAAGGGAAAGATTAGCTAAAGGGAAAGATTCTCCCTGTCGTACTTCCTAACTCTTCTTTGTCTCCTACTGATCCAACATCCTCTTCTGTACTCCTTAACATGGTGAGCATGTCTCAAATGTCAAGAGCTCCTAATGGAATCTAGTTAGGAGGCTAGATTCCATTAAGAGCCTGGACTCCTTTTAAGGTCACCCAAGGCAGAATGTTAACAGCTGAGGCACCAGACTAAGATTCATCCACTCTCTTCAGGAGTACTAACACAATCAGCATAAGAGAACTGATAGTTCCAGTCGGGACTGAGAAACTTTTGAAGGGCAGTTACTAGCCAACAGTAGCAGATGAAAATGACACTTGGCAGAGGATCTTTCACAGACTGTGGCAGTGACACCCAAGCTAACTTTTGCTAGTACTGCACAGAAGACAATGATAAATCACGATTGAACCTTTCTTACCTTAAAAACTGCATGTATCCATAGCACTGTGCATACAATATGTTCAGATGCTTTCCCTGCCAAATTTAGAATACAGTTACACAAACTGACATCACCAATACACTAATACAGAAAATAGGTTAAGCTATCAAAAGCTTAACTCTCAGAAATACAAGCTGGACTTCAAAGGGGCAGAAGAACTAGAGACCAAATTGCTAACATGTGCTGGACTATGGAGAAAGCCAGAGAGTTCCAGAAAAACATCTACTTCTGCTTCACTAACTACACACTAAGTACAAGCCTTTGACTGTGTCGACCACAACAAACAAAATCTTTAAAGCAATGGGAGTGCCTGACCACCTTATCTATCTCCTGATAAATCTATATGTGGGACAGGAAGCAACAGTTAGAACTGGATATGGAACAAAATTGGGAAAGGACGCCCTGGAAAAGGGCACTTTTTTCCCCTGATGTTGGGAAAGTGTGAAAGCAAGAGGAGAAGCGGACGACAGAGAACAAGAATGTTGGACAGTGTCACCGAAGCTACCAACATGAATTTGACCCAACTCTGGGAGGCAGTGGAAGACAGGAGGGCCTGGCGTGCTCTGGTCCATGGGGTCACGAAGAGTCGGACACAACTAAATGACTAAACAACAACGAAATGCTTTCTGGGACCCAGCGTGTCTTAGAATACCTGGGTATTCCTCTGTTATCATCACAAGTGACATACATGTGCAGAGGAGGGCCTGTTAAATGCCATTAAGCTGCATGTGATTTATGGTGTCTCTAATAGGGTTTTCAAGGTATGAGTAATGTTTAAGGAGTGATTTTACCACTGCCACCTCTCCCCATTACTTGCTGAGATCCCACTGGATTTGGAGCAACTCATGCCACCGGATCCTCTCAAACAATGCTCCTCTGGGTGGTCATGCTGAAGGAGGCCAAGAAGACATCACTTAGAAGCCAGGCTTTCTCCATTGTGGCCCCAGCCCTTTGGAACTGGCACCTAGTTGATTTGCGCCTGGCCCACTCCCTGCTCACCTTCAAGAGGTTGCTGAAGATGCTGCTGTGGGTAGATAAGATTTTCAAGGTATAAGCCTGACACAGAGGATAAACTGCAGCACTGCACTGAAGACAATGCTAATGACCCAAGTTCAATTTTGGAATTAGATAGCCAGTTCAAATTTGACTCAACTTTCCATCCTTCTGAGATCGGTAAATTGAGTATTCAGCTTCCTGGGGGGTAATGGGTAGACTGCATAATTAAATTGTAAACCACCCAGAGAGTGCTTTAAGCACTATGAGGTGGTATATAGGGAGCACACTTTTGCTGTGAATTCAACTTCACATTAATTTTTGTTTGCCTGTGCCCTGCCAGCTAAACTGTCACATTGTTATTGTTTTAGAAAGTTGATTTGATTTAGCTTTGTTCTTACATTATAATTCTTACTGTTGCTTTGCTTTATAAATAAGCAACACTCTGTTGCTATACTGCACAAAGATGGTAGAAAAAATATATGTACAAAGGATTACATCCAAAATTAATCTCAGTCAGAGTAAAAATATCTAGATGAATGAGACTTGCTAGTCATACATTTCATTGATTTCAATGGATCTACTCCAGCTGGGACTAATACTAGATTTCTCAAACTTTACTTGCAGTGAAATGTAAGATATTTTTAAAAATTCAGTGTAAAAAAAATGGGGTTTGGGGATGGAAATTTCTATTTGTTTGGTTGAAATATTTTAAATTAGTGGTACACAGGTAAGAACATCATTATAGTAGGGTCCACTGCATGAATTCACCATAGATGGGTGTTATGCTTAAGTGTTTCCAGTTTATTTATGAAACTAGCAATCCAACAAAAACAATTATGAATGTCTCAAGTTCAATTCGGAGAATACCCATGGTTGTCTTATCCTCATCACTTTCTAGGACAGGCGTGGCAGGAGTCTGGATATTCAAGATGGGCCTAGAGGCCAAAGAAACCATGGAGAAGCAAGTACACCATCTATGATACGAAGACATACTGATCCAGCACAACAACCACAGGTACTTTTTATTGTTGTTGTTATTCTAGAGAGGCAGAGTCAGTGCGATATGAGGAAAGCTTCCTTTCAAACAGCCAGGTCAAACATATTTGTCTGCATGTGTCACTTGGAAAGAAAATGTGGAATTATGCAGAATGTATGTACAAATCAAGAATGTAGGTCTCTTTTAAGATATATAGTGCAAAGGAAGTAGTGATGTCCCAAATATTTAACATTTTTAGATAGGATGGTTACTTAAATTCATTTAAATGGTTTTGATAATATTGGACAGCTGACAGAAATTAGGGAAACAGACTGATATATAGGGATGGGACCTTTGGAAAACACAAATGGCCATTGCCTTAATTTAGTGGAAACACCTCAGTCTGAATTGTGCAATTCATAAAATTGTCTAGATGCTTTTCTGAGGCTGTGAAGAAGCAACATGGAAGCAGCATGGAGTTAAGAGGGCTGCTATATCCCATGTTGTTGTGACAGCTCTCAGTCCCATAATTCAGCCTAGGAGGTTCCTGCCAAATTATGTGACATTGAGGGGTTTTTTTCTTAACTTTTGTTTTTTCTTTTCTTTTTGGCTTTGGCTCAAGGCATATTTCAGGCGGCAGCAGCTTCTTAAACTGAAACCTTAATGTCAGGGCCAGTCCTTTTACAAACAAACATTTTTAAAATGTAGCATAGATAGTTCTTTAAAGAGTCCAAGTGATTTCCTCACAGTTTCTGAAAGAGCTATTGTGAAAAACAGCTGGTTTTCAAAGCATATTAGCAGGGGGAAGCCTTCGCTAAAGAGTACTCCAGTCAGAATCCTTCAATGATAATACTCATCTATTTTTTTTAAAAAAAAAGCACATGTAAATCCAGCAAAGTATATTCTTTCTGAAGAATTTCTTCAGGATTTTCAAAATATTTTTGAATTAGTCCTTTAAAAGAGACTGATTTCTTAGAGAGGAGAGAAGTAGAATTTTAGGCAAAGTATGGACAGAATCCTGGTAATATCTGTGCACCAAGTGGTACCACCTAGCACAAAGAAGGGAGGAAGAAGTGCTTCATCTGGATGAGCCCTGAGACATGTAACAGAAAGGGAATAATACAAAGGTGTCAAGGGACTAATGTGTTATCAGCTGTAAGCATCTTTCTCAATAACAGAATACTGTATAGGACTACTGGCTACTGTATATTCATGCAACCTGCAAGATAATATGCAAACACTATGCAGCAAATGAAAAACATATTTTGTTGTGTTGATAAGATTATGTGGAAAAGCCATTATTGATTTGGTGGGAGTATGTTACATTGGATGAGAACTGTACAATGAACGGCTACAGATGATACTTTCACCTCTTTTTCTTTTTCAATAGAGAACACGATGGGTTCGTGCTTTATATGACTTCAAGGCAATGGAGGGTGATGAGCTAGGGTTCTGCACTGGAGATATAATAGAAGTCCTGGACAGCTCTGATGCCTTTTGGTGGAAAGGCTGTTTACATGGAGAACTTGGTCTCTTTCCTGCTAACTACGTAGGACCTGTAACCTGGTGAATTCACATTATTTGTGATTGTACCTGTAAATGAAGACATTCCATCAGCTCAGTAGAAGAAATCTTTGTTACTTCATGCAGTTTTCATAACACAAGTTGTCAAGTAGTTTTGTTCATTTTACTACCATATTTTGATAAAATGCAAAGGAAACTACTTTTGCATGTTTCACAGTAGAACAGACCTGTGTACAGCTGTAATTGATGTAAACCAGTGAAGATATGAAAATATTCTGTGGAGGAGGGTTTTTAAATATATATAATTGAGTGGTTTTGGTCAAAATCCCATTGGATATTTATACATGCACAAGAGGAATCATGAAAGCTGCTGTAGCTAATTGTAGCTAATTGATGAAGTGCAGAGCACATGCTAGACACACAATGCAAAATCAGAAGGGCAAACAGGTGCAGGATCAACATGTGACTGGTACCTCGTCAGTTTGCTCCAACAACTTTCACACTTAATATCCAACAGGATTCTTCTGGCCAGTGATTTTTTTTCAAAAAGTGAACAAAGATACAGTATATTTTAACATTGTAAATGAGTATACAATGCTTTAATCTGTATTTTATTTTTTAAAAGTCATTTAGTTCTCCAGAGCCACAGGGGAATCCAGACAAATGACAGAATCAGTGTTCAGTTTACAGAGTAGAACACCTTTCATTTGCAATGTAAAACTAAAGAGGAAGCTAGGCACACCCTGTCAGAGAAAAATGCAGTGCAATCCCTGTTTTCTTATGTCTTCACATATTCTGATTACAACAATTTCCTGATCATAAGATTATAGTTTTCCCTTGTAAGAAAGCTTTGCAGTACAGTATTATTCTGTATTTTTGCTGCTCTTCCAGCTAATAGCTGGAAAGGTCCATATGCATGTTTACTTCATTCAACAATTAATATTCATCATGAGGAAACAAAGACATGTTGTGTGTTGTACTGGAGTTGAGATCTTCTGTTGCTCTTCATTTTAAATTCAGATTTGGAATGTGTTTCTCCAGAACTACATACAGTATTTAAAAGAAGTCCTTCAAGTTTCAAGCCATAAATATTACACATTGTTGTTGTTTAGCCGTTTAGCCGTGTCCGACTCATCGTGACCCCATGGATCAGAGCACGCCAGGCCCTCCTGTCTTCTACTGCCTCCCGGAGCTGGGTCAGATTCATGTTGGTCGCTTCGATGACACTGTCCAACCATCTCATCCTCTGTCATCCCCTTCTCCTCTTGCCCTCACACTTTCCTAACATCGGGGTCTTTTCCAGTATATTACACATACTGTCAGTAAAAACATGGATCCACATAAATCAATATAAGGGACATAATTCATGTTGCAAAAATGCATCAGCTTTTTAAAATACCAGTATAACAATATCAGTAATCATCTCCAAGAATCCTGGGAATTGTATAGTGGTGTGCTGAGAACTCCACCATTTTCAGGGTTCCCCAGGGAGAGGGAATGACTTACAAAACCAACATAAGTTTGTGGGGTCCACATTCTTCTGCCAAACTACTTTAGACCAACGAAATGAAATATCAAAAAACGAGTGGGCACTGAATTTGCAACAGGAGTTGCCAAATGTTATGCTGTAGATATGCATATGTCCTCTTAGGCTGCAAAATTATAAAAATAATGCAAACATTGTACTTATCCACATGGAAAAGACCTGACCATTTTTTAATTTTCCAGGTTCCCAAATCATGCTTCACTTGCTCTCTCACTATTTTTAGTTTTTGCTGTTGGGACATGATACTCCCTCTATCTCTCAGCATCCATAATTCTGACTTCTGTTTTGAAGAGAAATCATGTGCTTATGACCAAGAAGGATACTACTGTTATGTTGTTCCACCTGCACAAGATGTTCCAGAAATGCATAATCTGTAATCCTGAGAATGTATAAAGTTATCCACATTGAAGAATCGTGTCTTTCTGTTCTTCTGACTCAGGGCAGATACTTAGCACAATAGCAACAAAGAAGAAAATATAAGAGAAAAGGGAGACTGCCATGGTCATGAATACAGTAGGAAAATCAAAGTCTTAAAACCACTTATGTTAAGTAATCTTACAATGTAGTTGAAATTCAATTAATCATTTCTGAATAAAGTCATATTATTTAATCATATCCACACTATCGCCCCGCATTGGTGGGGAAAGTATGCAAAGGAGTTATGAGGAAAATTATGGGGGGAAAGGTGGAAAGCAGTTGCAAGTTTATTCTTGTTATTGTTGTTTATTCTTATAGCTATACATATGTCACCCACCCCCTTGTTGTCAGTAAATGCCAAGAGAGGGAACAGGATTTCATCACTGACCATGCTTCCAGCACTATATGTCCACGGTTCATACTCACTAGAAGTCAGTTAATTAGTGGTTTTAATTAAAACTTCTTTTGTGCCAGCTTCCCTTTCCTATCCTGTTCTTCCTAATTTTTATAAAAATATAGCCTCACATTTGCTGTTTGACTATAAAGCTGAAAAAAGAGAAAAGAAAAAAGTTAAATGTTTTGTTTTGAACTTTTTACCTGTTGCAATGATAGTATATGGGCTATATTCAGAACATTATAAAAGTATAAGATTTAAGGAAGTATGTCAGAAAGAAAGGTCACTTTTCCATATAAATGATACAGCAAAAGGCTGGCAAAAAAGACTAATTATCTGGAGCGCTGGTGAAGGAACTGTAAAAGCACAGGTTGCTAAACACGGTTCAGCTGGGTTGTTCTTGAGACTAGCTCTTTATCTTTGGAATTTATGGAAATCCATATTTTATTTCAAAAGTCCCTGTTGTTAATAAAGAAGAAAGAAAGCCTCCAATGAAATTTTTAATGTTACAGAAGACTGTAACACTCCACTGAGTTATTTCCATAAGTACTGCTTTTAACACAGCCAGGCACACATGGTTGACGGCTCCCAACACTAGCATGCACTACACAGACACAATACCAGATATCTTCCACTGAGTTATTTCCATAAGTACTGCTTGTAACACAGCCAGGCACACATGGCTGACGGCCCCCGACACTAGCATGCACTACACAGCCAGATATCGCACATGTATCATCCTTCAATGCTTGGTTTTTCCTTATTCAATAGAAGCTGTGTAATAGATCAAGACTGCAGCTTAGGGAAGATTCAAACCACAATCTAGATATGCATTGCCCCTGGCCCAATTGCTATTTACCCTAAGAAGGCTGTTGTTGGTTCAAACCACAATCTAGATATGCATTGCCCCCTGCCACAATTGCTATTTACCCTAAGAAGAAGGCTGTTGTTGGCTCAACGGTAGCATCCCTCCCAATGTAAACAAAAACTATGGAGAGACTGATGTGGATTTGGATCATGGCAGGAGCATAGACTTCAAGGTCCCATATCCCATGGTCCTTATCCAGATCATGTCTCCCATTTGGTATAGAAAAAATAAGCATGAAATAGTCACATCACTAATGCACATCAAGTTAGAGCTTTAAAAGGTAGGCTAGTAGGGTGCGATTTTGAATACGTTTAGGAGCCATGGAGTGACTGGATACGCTTTAGGCCTGCATGGACATATGACTAGCCTGAAGGGAAAGAAAAGTCTGAGGAAAGAGAGAGAAGAATGTGCAGAGGGCTAAATACTTCAGAAAGCTTTCTTCATGCTATTGAGTTGTCTCTTCCATACTTCGTACCTCAAGAAAAGGACTCAGCCCACTAGAGAAACAGCTATTATTTATTAGGGTAAAGATAATTTGCAGTAACTATCAGGAAGAATCTGAGCTCTTGAACAGTGGAGAAGGCTGTCTTAGAACATGGTGCATACTCATTCATTTCAGCCTTTCACGAGAGGGTGGATGTGCTGTAGTCGTGGATTTCCTGCCTCAGAAACAGTGTTTGGATTCCTTTCAGTTATATGATTCTGTAATTCTAAGGTCTTTACTAAGTGTCATTTAATTACCATTTTACTGTACTTTGCTGTTGTTATTATTACAATATATATTAATAGGACGTGTCTTACTAGATGACACCAAATGTTTATTCAGTCCAAACTGTCTGTCCTACTTGCCACAGCAGCCAGTCTTTGAGGCCTCTGGAAAGCCCAGAAAGGGCGTGAGACAGCAAGTAGACACAATCCACACTGTTATTTCCCAACAATTAATACCTCTGAACATGGTAGTTTGACTTAGGGCTTGTCTGTACATACTTGTTAGAGCAGGACAAATAGAGGACACAGGCAGGTTCAGTATGACATTTGGTGAGATCCTCACATCCAAATGGCAAATACATCTCAAGCATCCTATTTGGTCTGGCTCTTTCCTTTTTAAAATTTTCCATATTATTATGAAATGGCTTAAGAAGACAGCCACTTCAGATTATTGGCAAATTAAACAATTTCTCTGCTTCACACAAAGACAGAGGAAACAGATTTTTTTTAAAAGACTGTATAAAATATTAAAATAGAAAATATAACCAGAAATGATAATTAGCGATAGGATATAATAAAAACCAAGATAAAACCAGTGGCAAAAAAGCAAATGCTGTAACATCTAAAATCAAAGTCAAACAGGCAGGAAAGCAGAACACTGTCATGACTTAAAAGCACTAAAAATAGTTCTTAAAATGATTGGGAGAATCAAAATCTTTTAATCTTCACTTGGCATGAAAAAGATCCTAACAGGAAAGCCTCTCTGGAGGATGGCATCCCACAGACAGAAAACAACCAGTTGGAAATGACATCTCTTTTGTGGCTGTCTCACCACATCTGAACAGCTGGGAGAGGACCTCAGATAAAATGTGTAGGGTCTAGATGCATAGATCTAGGAGGAGAAATTCCTTCACATTTAGGGCTTTAAAGGTTAAAGCCAGAATGTTGAATTGGGCCAGGAAGAGACTGGCAGCCAGTAGAAGTGCCAAAGTACTTGCATAATACAGTCATACTGCATCAACCAGTCTATCTGCCCTGTATTGGGTGGATACTTCCAGATAAACGGTAGCCTCACATGACAGCTGAACTCTTACTGCTTAGTGTAAAAAAAATTGTAAAATGCAGTCTGCTCCTAGCTTCAAATAAAGAGTCCCTGGTGTGATTTTTTAGAGCATTTGCACATAGACCCAAGAATTATGGTAGGGACTCTTTCTTTGCCAGCTGAGAACAAACTGAATGTTATGAATTTTCTTGTGCTAAGCAATAGGACTTCAATTGCAGTGTATTGCAATAACCCAAACAGTTATCTAATGGCATGAATAAATGTTGCAAAAGGGGGGGGGACAAAATGCTGGGGAGATATGATAGCACTTTTAAAATACTTGAAAATCTGTCATACAGAGAAGGGGCAGGATCTGTCCTCAGTCAGCCCAGATTGCAGGACACACAACAATGGGCTCAAATTACAGAAGTCATATTTCAGATGAATACTATATCAGGAAAAACTTCCTGTTAGAAGAGTACAGCAATGGAACCAATTACCTCAAGAGGTGGTGAGTGTTCCAACACTGGAGCATTTAAGAGAAATTTAGACAACCATCTGGCAGATATCCTTTTGATTTGTATTCTTGCATTGAGCAAGAGATTGCACTTGATGGCCTTATAGGCCACTTTCAACTTCATTATTCTGTGATTCTATGATTCTATAAACCCTTCTCACAGTCCTACCACCCTCAGAGGCCCATTTCATGGGGGCTCAAGAAAGTGCCTTCTTGGTGGACATGTCCAGGCTCTGAAACTCCTTGCCAAGAGACCCCGGTTTGCCCCCTCTCTGCCATCTTTCAGATGGCAGGCAAAGACAACTTTGCTGAGGCAGGCCTTTGGACATTGCCTCATTTTAATCAAGTGCACTCTCTTTTTTAAAAGATAAATTATTGTCAGTATTTTTAATCAAATATTTTAAAGTATTTATATCAACGAACTCTACCCAGGTACAAGGACCGGTGATCATTGCATACAAAAGACCAGCTAACGGTCTTCAGTCACAGTGACAGATAATCTCTCCCTCTTATCACAACAATACAACCACAACATAAAATATGCTGATCACCACAATCACCCATCTCCTGAAAAGGGCAAAAGCAGATGCCACAGCTATAAATACTCAACTATCCAAACAAACTCCACCAGAGCACAGACAGAGTTCCAACTCCTGTCCTTTGAAAATGCCGGCCACA